TTAGAGACCCTCATAAACCCAGGGTTTCAAGCCTGTATCTAAGTTGCTTTGCTCAAAGCTAACTTTGCTTATATCATGTTGCCAAGAAAGTTGGCATTAGAGTACTACCAACAGCTGTTGAGTGATCGGCAGCTCTCATAAGGATTTCATTTTGGTACTTTCAGTAAATTGATGATGATTACATTGAAAAACTTCAGCCTTTACTAATTATAGATTGTATTTTGAACCCTGACCATGGGGGTGGTTGTTGCTACCTGTCTGTAGTTTATTGCATCTGTGAAACTTCTCTTCATTTTGCCTGATTTTTACCAGTGATATTTCTTGTCTGTGGTTTGTGTTATGTGGCCTACGGGGGAAAAAAGCCACCTGCTTAACTATTTAAATACTCATAAGTCAATAGTTTCCTGAAATAACCCAGTCTAACTTTCTCAGAAAGGTGTGAAATTCCCTTTTCTGGGAATTGTTTTTCGCTTCTGATTCTTGCCCTCAGTGACAGCTATGCTGGTGTCTTATTTCCATGCTAAGCAAGATAAAGTTAAAGCACAAAAATTTACAAAAGACTTCACAAAAAAATAGGCCAGATGTCCCCTTTGCTTAACTCCCTTTATCTTCTTTGCACTGACCTGACATGCTGGGAACAGCTATGTTTTGGGGTATATTTTTGGCTTAAATTTTTAAAGGCTAATAATTGTCTTCTGGTACTTATTCCTATTATCAACATTTCTTGGTTATGATATTTTCTAAAAATATTTTTTTAAAAAATCCCTAATGAGTGCATTCAAAAGGCTGGGTTTTGATGAAAGGGGTAGTACACTTTTTCTTGGGGTAAACAAGGAACACAGATAATTTTTTTGCTCTTTTCCATCACAATTTCTTGGAACTTTGGAAGCACATCAGTGAATCAAATCAGCTTCCCCAAACGTCAGTGGATAAAACATAGCTGAGAGTTATTGTTCCTAACCTTAACTTGTATTTAAAAAAAAAAAAGCTTCAATGCTATGAAGGAAAAAAAAATTGTTGAGAGGAGCAGCACAGGAGAGCTTTTTGGGCTGGAAATGCTTTCTATCTTCATCCGGAGGGTTGGTTACATTCATTAAGCTGTATGCATAAGACTTGGGCTCCAAATTATATGTATGTTCTACCACAATAAAGCAAATGAGTATTTTCTAGTCTTGAAATGTCTTTTATTTTAAAGCATTTAGAACATGAGACAAAGTCAGGGAAAGAAATGTTTAACACGTAAAACACTATGGAACTAAAAGATAGCATGATCTAGAAATATAACTGGCGTATTTGGTATACAAAGTGGATTGTCCTCCACCCTGTAGCCCTGGATCTTTTCAGCTTTGCTGCATTCCCTTGACCTGGAACCAGGGAGGGAGTTCTCTTTGTGTCTGGTGATTCTTACCTCTTCCCCTGCTGTGAGGCTTAAAGGTTTAATTCTAGGGCAATTAACCTGCAGATCTTTTTCAAAGTCTGTCACCTTACTAAAACGTAACTGAAATAGCACATATTGTCCCTGGGATGATCGTGGACAAATTTCACAACAATTGGAGAGAAATTCAGTGGAGTCAGGGCTGGTATTAAGAAAATGTATTATAGAGGCAGAGAGAACACGTCAGAAGAGTGCAATGAGGACAGGACAGACTGGACACATATTCCTGATAACACGTTGCTAAGCATTTGTGACAGAAAACTGGCTAGTGCTGGCAGATGAATGAAGAAGGAAGAAGAAAAACTGTCTATGAGTCCCAGACTAGGTCCGTCATTAAAACGGGTTTGAATGTCACTTGGACACTGTCAGGTTATAGCAGACCTTTTCAGTATGAATCTCGTGGAGAAAGTGAGCTTAACAGCAGGGCCCGAGAGCCAGCCTAGTTGCCTTTTGCTGTTGTGAATTTTGACCTCTTACAATTTCGGACTGCTTTCCGAACTCTCTGACTCTCTACTGTTCCATTCATTCCCATAGCTTACTGTTTGATCATAGCTTCTCTAACTACTTCTGTTTCTTTTTTATACCTCTGCACCTTTCCCCTTTCCCCTCCCACTTTCAAATCCTTTCCTGGACTTGTTTTCAGCCAGCTTGGGTACAAAGTCTTGCCTTTCCTCCTCTCATCTCTTCTTTGACAGCAAGCTCAAGTTTCACATCTCTCATCACTTCAGCCCATACTGATCTCCTCTTTCTTCTTTTAGCTACTACCTGTGACTTCCAATGTGGCACTCTATGATTTCTGATCCTAGTTCTTAAGTGGTTCATATGAATGGCTTATTTCTTTCTTCAAATTTCTTGGAAAGAAAACATCACCTTCATTTTGTATTCACTTTAGGTCACTTCAGGGGATAGCACATTGCTTTAGAGGTATTAGGTAATCAAAATATATCTGTGGAATGAACAAATAATGTATTCAAGGCTTCTATATACAATCAGGTTCCCACTCTTTTGGGTGCATAAGGATATTATTTTGAATCTCAAGTAATCTCATTCTTAAGATTACATTCTTTATTTACTTTTAATTTTCCTTTTGCAATTCAATCTGACAAGAGGGGCCACTTGCGTATGTATAGGAAATCCTTTGCCCAATTTAGGCTTCCAGTAAATACAGGTTTTAAATAATGCAATATGGATATGGCTCTTTATAGTCTCTAAGTAATTACCGGGACCCTTCAATAAGGGAAATATTTTTCTGATGAATCATTAGAAACACATTTGTGGTAAACTTCTAAGCCATTAATAATCATGGATATTGTCTTAATTGCTCTTGAAGTGAAGAATTCTTTTGTAATATGAAGAACCACTTTCTAATTCATCTGTTTTGCTAGTTTAGATTTTCTTAAATTGGCTTGCTTTAAAAATGGGCATACTTGTGCTTAAAAAAAGCTCCAGAGACCTTCCATCTATCTACAAATACAAAAATAGCAATAATGACTGACAGTCACCCCCTTTCCCCCTGTCAGTTATGGGACTATTTCAGGTTCTTTCTTTTTCATGCTCTCGAAGTAATGTGAGGTTTAGATTCAACTCCCTTTAATCTGAAACACTGACTGAGCTCCAAACCACTTAGCAGCCTGCCATTTTTCAATGGGAGGGGAAAACTGCGATGTAATTTACTGTCCACATTTTATAGTTTTCCCTTTAAAAAACCTGCTTACACAGTTCCTGTATTTGCAGAGACTGGAGAGTGAGATGGCTTTTAAATGCAGCTCTTGGCTGAGCAGTGCTGGGAAACTCAAAGCAGCTGACAGGCCACCCTAACTGGTGCAAGGTGATGAGAGATAAGGGGCTCTGGGAATAAAGCTGTCAGGGAGAGTGTGAGGAAGACGTAGGCATCGCAGCAGGTCTGACGAGCCAGAGGGGGAGCACAGTCTGGGAAGGACAGAGGGTCATGGCTGGCCTCCGCTGCTGAATCGAGGTGTACACCTAGATAAGAATTGTGTCATTGTTTTAGTCAGGCAGCAGCATTTACTGGGCACTGACTCACTGCTTGGGAGTTTCTTCATTGTTACCCTGTCTGAACCCTGGTCTCTCAGAGATTCAGCCAAAAGAATCTCTGGCCTCACATCCTGCTTTTATTACTGAACAGGCAGTGTCTGCCCTGGGCCTTGTGTAGGAAAACTGGATTAGAGGTGGGATTCCTGAGGCCTCACCTTCAGGATGGTGTTCTACCCCATGAGAACTTTGCCCACACTCCTTGTCCCCCTACTCAACTGCCTTATGTTCTTCAGCAGTTTTCTTCTTTTCTTATTCAGTTTGTCTATTCACTTCCAGCTCCATCCATTCATGGAGCAGTTACTGAGCATCTACCATGGGAAGACACATACTGAGAGATACCGCATTAGCCAGGGTTCTTAGAGAAACAGACTTAATAGGATATATATATCTCCTATATATGATATAGTATATATATAGGTAGATATATAGATATCTATATATAATATAGACATATATAGATATGTATCTGTATCTATCTATATGTCTATCTAATTGACCTGTGAACAACATGACAGGTAGGGGTACAGACCCCTGCACAATCAAAAATCTGTGTATAACTTACAGTTATCCAAGGTTCTGCATCCAACCAACTACAGACAGTGTAGTACTGTAGTATGAATTTATTGGAGAAACTCCATGTATAAGTGGATCTGCACAGTTCAAACATGTGTTGTTCAAAGTTGCACACACACACACACACACACACACACACCCATAGAACTGATCAGTCTATCTCTCCATCTGTCTATCTATCTGGCCATCATCTATCTAGATTTATTTTAAGGAACTGGATTGTGGAGAATGGTAAGTTCAAAATGCACAGGGTAGGCTAATGGGCTGGAGACCCAGAGAAGAGCTGATACTGCAGCTAGGGTCTGAAGACAGTCTAGAGGCTGACTCCCCCCTTCCTTGGGGGAGGTCAGTCTTTTTTCTGTTTAAGGTCTTCAGCTGATTGGATGAGACCCACCCAAATGATCAAAAGTCATTTGCTTTTCTCAAAATATACTGATTTAAATGTTAATCTCATCTAACAAATATTTTCACAGCAACATCTAGATTAGTGTTTGACCAGATATCTGGGTATCATGGCTTAGCCAAGCTGACACATAAAATTAACCAAGAGTACTATGACTCCTACAAAGGAAAGTACTCTAGGCCCTTAGCCTCAATGAATATATGTTTAATTAGAGAGATGATCACATAAATAAGTAAATGACTGTAAATCCAGTCATGAGCCTTGTGATGAGTTCTGTATCAGTTATCAACAAAGAACTTAAGGAACCCAGAGGAAAGAATGATCAATTCTGACAGGGGGTAGTAAGAAAGGCTTTGTAAAAGGGATGCATTTTGTGGTGGGTGTTGAGAGCTAAGTAGGATTTTGCTAAATGAAAAAGGTGAGGACTGGGGGAGGGGAAACAGTCTAGATCTGGTAAAAACAGAATTGTTCATGAGTTCATATACTCTCTAAAATTTTATCAAGCACGATTTCTTTGCCTCTTTATTGTTCTAGGTGCTGATGGTGTGCAAAGAGGATGCGTCTCTCAGAATGAACAATGATAATGGTTACTATTTCTTGAGTGCTGTCTGCCATGTATCAGGTACTATGCCAAGTGTCTGTACCCATTATCTCAATTACTGTCCGACCGCCATGTAGGAATGGTTCTCTGTGGGGAAGCTCGGCCAGTACAGTATGGTATCTGTCAGTGGACTGTGAGGGCTCTACTGAGCCTACTCCTGGGAGTAGGAAGGACAAGTAGTTGTTGGGCTCAGAGGCTTGGACTGAAGGGCATAGGTTTTTCATTGCTAGGCTGGTCCTGAAGCAGACAGGACGTGAATCCAGCCTTAGCTCACAACCCGGGTGATTCTGCAGGTGTTCTGGTATAAATGGAAGCTGTGTGACAGTATCCAGGGGAATGGAATCTGAAATAGTCCAATCTTCAATTCTTTGCTAAGTTTGCTTCCACTAAAGTCATCACTCTCATTATCCCAAGAAAACTGAGCATTTGAGAGGTTAAGTGAATTTCTCAGAATTCCACTGCCAGTAAGTTGAGGTTCAACCACTGGCTGCCTGACATCAAAATTTTTGCTCTTTCCCTTAAGCCATAATGCCCTAACTCCTGGGCTAATGGGAAAAACAGTAATTGCTGTGGTCTGAATATGGCCCCCGCCTGGAAATTCATATGATGAAATCCTAATGCCCAATGTGACAGTATTAGGAGATGGGACTTATGGGAGGTGACCAGGTCATGAGTATGGAGCCCTTTGAATGGAATTAGTGCTCTTTTAAACAGACTCTACAAAGTTCTTTCAGCCCTGAGACCGTGGGAGGATATAGCGAGACATCTGCAGCTGGAAGAGGGCCCTCACCTAACCATGCTGGCACCTTAATCTCAGACTTTTAGCTTTCAGAATTATGAGAAATAAATTTCTGTTATTTATAAACTGCCCAATCTGTGGTATTTTTTGAAAAATAGCAGCCTGATGGGCCACAACAATGATTTAAGCAAATGACTCCAAAGGAGTGGGGTTAGTGCTATAATGGAGATATCTTTAAGGTACAGATGATGGAGTGATGAGTTCCATAGAATGTGAGCAAAGGTATACATACTGCAAGGTGTGCTGAAGGAAGAGTACCTGGAGTCTAGGCAGCTGATGAAACCAGAACCAAGATAAAGGTAATGGGGATGGAAAGGAGGGACTTAACATTAGATTAACATTCTGTAAGTCTAGAAGACAAAACTTAGTAACCAATTTTGGGAAAGTAGAACAACTTAGATATCAGGACCCTTAGCTGCATGCAAAAGAACACTTGTATCTAATTGAAGTAGGGAAAGATCATGGGAGGCTATTTCCTAGGTCACAGGTTTTCTAGGAGATCCAGAGAACCAGGCTGAGGGACAATGAAGCCTGAAACCATGCTCACATCACACCATGGGGTTCCTGCAGTGAAGAGTCCACTGTTGGCACCCCTGGGCACTGTGTATCACATCATAGGTGACTGACCACTGGTGCTGGGCGCTGGATGCTAGAACCTCTACCACTGCTTGCTTTAAACTGCATCCCTCCACCTCCAACCTCATGAAAGTAGGTATTGTACAGTTCTGGCTTTCAGTGGGTCAAAAGCTTGTACTCTGGCTGCAAAGGAGGCAGCAAAAGGGACATTCTACCTTTCACCTTTTGAAGGTTGAGGAATTCCTCAAATGTGGAATGGATGATCGCAAGGTGTTTGTGGCCACAAACATGCCTACTCAAGGTGGAGAAGAAGAGGGAGGACTCAAAACTGATATTATGGTTTCTCATTTAGCAAATGGGTGATTAGAGATACTAGGGCTAAGATCAGGAAGCTGGAAGGAGGAATGTATTTGTGGGTCTAAAACATTTTAGTTTATTTTAAAATACATTAAATTTAAGATACCTGCAGCACATTGATGTGGTGATAGTTATACAACAGGCAGTTAGAAATTTGGGTCCCATGTTCAAGATGGCAGATAGGGATAGAGATGTATATTTGGGAACCAATATACAGATATGGGAATAGATAAGGCTGATCAGGGAGTATGTAACTCTGATGAACATGACCTTTGAAGGTGGATAGAAGAGAAGGAAGACCTACTCAAGGATTCAAGAGATAGAATGGGAATCTAAAGACTGAGAAAACTAGAGTGTCATGGAACTCAAAGGTGCAAAGGAGGGAGATGGTGGTCAAGACAGTGAAATGCTGCATAAAAATGAGTTGTGAAGGCTGAGGGTGACTTGGTCTCACAGTTAGAAATTCATCAGTGGTGTACAGAAGTTCTTTTGTCTTAGGCCAAGATCATGACCCATTTAGGGTGAATAGTAACATACCCTATACTTCTTCTTAGCCTCTACACAATAAACAGCTTTCATCCCTTTGTCCCTACCCAGTCCTCAACTTCCTTTCTTAACCCTCCCAGTGTCCCCTTTCAAGACTATGTTACCATACACTTCCTAATAACAAACCCTGCCCCAAATCTGTGCCTCATTTTAATCTCAGTCCCCAGCTATGCCTTTCCCAGCTTCAGTGTTCTGTCCGCTCCCACATTCTTCTCCTTTTCTGGTCTCATCCTTTCTCTGTTCTCTTTGGTGTTTCTTCAATTGCAGGGTCACTAATCTAGCACCCTGTATCAGTCCCTAAGCCCAGACTGTTTTCTCAATTTCCTTTTCCTGGATTACTTCCCATTTTTCTGTGGAGCTGATGCCAGTACTTCCTGTACCAGAGCCCTCACCTGCACCCACCATTTTCCTGGCACTAGGGCTGGCCTCAGTCCTTGGAGATTTTGCTGGCCTGCCTCTCCCCTGCTTTGCCTGTCTTTCTCATTTCGAGTCCCTTCTCTCACTTTGGATTCTATGTTTCCTCACTGAACTATGTACTTTTTCCTTATCTGCTAACTGAAAAAAAAAAAGGATGTCTAAAGAAATTCCTTATCTTTCAGAGGCAAATAGTAAAGTATTTATTGATGCAGTGATATGATTACTAGAATTTGATTCAAAATATTTGAGATGGGGGCTAGCAAGGGTAGATATAAATAGAGAAGTGACCCTCTATGAATTGATAATTGTTGAAGCTGATGAATACATACAGGCTTCTTA